ATATATATATATATATATAATATCATCACTTGTTTGTGTAATCATTCTTAAATGTATCAATAGTTTATGCTATAATTTTTTCATCAATTAGTTTATTAGCCAGAAAATTATAGAATGATAAATCAAATTCACATGCAGTATTATTGGCATTTTAACTAAAAAATGAATATATATATACACATACTTAAAGATATGTATTTATTCAATAAAACAGTCCTTCATCTTACCCCATTTCATTTTCACGAGTAAGAAACTTACGTGAACTCCAACTGATGTGCATATTCACGGGCAATAAAGGGAATTTGCTCAGGAGCTAGTTTGCTTGCTAACTGCAGGGCTTGATCCCATTGCAACAGGTCTCGGCGCATATTCAAAGCAGCAATAGGTTGTGACGATGCCAAGTACCATTCCTAGATATTCAAGGCGCAACTTCAAAAAGAGTGATTAAGAAAATTTTTTGATAATTACATAAACAACACAATTACATCCACAGAAATGTCAATGTATCATTTCATTGAATCCATAGAAATGACAATGTATCATCAAATTTGCTCTTAAGAGGTTCTGACAGCTACAGAAAAAAAATCTATTTTCACTCAAATTTCTCTGAAAAACTGCGACTAACATTTATGAAAAGCATATTTAGGAGAACAGCACATTTTGAATCCAGGCCATACTATTCATTTTGAATTTGAAATGTAAACATTGATTGTCACTAACCACTGATATCATGTTCACTAAAAGCAAAGATAATTGATTGTCTTATAGTAAGGAACCATGTTCTGATTGTTTCTGTGTATCACATCTGGGCATTTTTATTGAATTAGTGAAGTTAATAATTTTTACAAGTCTACAAAATATCATCTATACTCATGATTACAGCTTTAAGAAGTTGGTCTAGAAAAATGTTTTATTTATTCTTCTACTTACATTACTTCTATTTACATTACAATGGTTATTTTCGGAAATGATCTGCTAGTCTAAAATACGAAGCAAATGGTCTAAAATATGGTTAAATATGGTGCAGTTCAGTGCAATGTTTCTCAATTGTGGCCCTCTCAGACCAGAATGAAAAACTTAGGTTGGATAAGTGATCTGTTCGATAACCCAGAGAAATGTACCAAATTAATGAAGCTATACCACATTAAACACACTATCATCACTGCTAAACTTACTATTTTGAATGTTTTTATCATGTCTAAAAATAACAAAATTACTTAATTTGAGTACAGCACATAACACCTCTGGACACATCCAGACTTAGGTTAAAATTATTGTAACATAATCCGTAAAAATGTAACGAAAGGTTTCAACATTTTTGATCTCAGTAAGTAGACCTCTAAAATTTTGATAACAAATCCTAAGTCATGCACAATTTAGCATTTTCTGGTTTTGGGATAACAAACAATACCACTTTTTATATTGTGTCCACAGCAAGTATTTCTCAAGTATTTTTTGGCAGACTCCACACTGCATAAGAAATGAAGAAGAAATGTAGAAGAGATAAGCCTCAAGGTATTACTACCTGCAATTGACCTGTGTTAAACCCAATTTTGGAAACAGCATCGCATCTAAATTGATCAAGGAATGGGGTCAACGGTAGAAGCATTGCTTTTCTTTTTTTGGAGACAAGAGAAAATTGTTATGAAATTATTACATTTCACAACAAACTTACCTGAGCTCTATCAAAATTCTTCAAGAACATAGCAATATGACCAGCAAGTAGACGCTGGTCTTCAATACCTTGAAGAGTTTGGAGTGACCACACCATCCCAACGTCACCCATATGCCGATACACTCGCATTGCTGAATCAAACAACAAGGGTAAGAAATGTTAATAATTGTTAAGTTAACTATATAAAAGCAACTCATGATAAAATGTGCTTAAATGTCTTCAATGTTTGGCTGTTAATTCAGAAAATTAGTTCAAAAAATTTAAATATTAAAAGATTACAGGTTTAACATTAGACAAAAGAATTTAGTTAAAATGAATGTAAACAATAGGAACTGATATTAATTCTAGAATAATAATATTGAACTATCCTCAATAGATTATTGCAGAAATGAAGTGAATAGTTCAGGGGACCATCATTTCAGTACAGATGAAGTACTTTATAAAAAATTCACATTAATAAAAATCAACAAATTTAAAATCCCAAAGTATCATAACTTTTTGTGTTAATTGGGTATTGCACCATAGTCTATCTAAGTCTGTAAAATAAAATTCATAAAATCAATGAAAATACAAAATAACAAATTTATATTTAGCCAATAATATTATTTACCGAATTCCACATTCAAATTCTTCAAAACAGCTTCAGCCAGAAGAGTCCACGACTCTCTTTGGTTTAAAACTTGGCAAGTTTTCCAGGCCTCACTAAATCTAGAGCACAAATTAAAAAAACATTTTTTGTTAAGAATCAAACTGCAAAATGGCTTCAAATTTCATGATGCATGTTGAAAAACATTCTAGAAGCATGTATTATATTTCTATTCAATAAAATTTCTACATTTTCTATAATGAAATGATATTTACCAGTAACTGACGGCTATATGACAGAATACAAACAAAAGGCTCATATAACATCCACAAATAAAACTCAGTACAATGAGACATGAACAATTCTGTGCAAATGAATACATTCCTGTACAAACATATACAATGACATGAAACAGTCAGAGGAGAAACATCTAAATTTGTCATGATCTAAAAACATACCATCTTCATGTATTTCGATGAGCTAATTATAAAAATATCATTCACTTTGCCCTATAATGTTTAAATTGCCTTGTCATGTTTTCCTTCAAATCTCAAAATGAACATCAAAAGTTGCTGGGTATAAACAAATCATGGTGTGAGTTCTCAAAGAGAATATAGGTGCCTACTTGAAGACAGAACATTTGTCAGATAAAAATGTCCGAAAGGTGATAAAATATAAGACTTGAGTTTCTTGCAACAAATGAGGATCAGTGTTGACTAGTACAGTTTACAGCAGTTGTGTTTTGTCAGTATACAGTGAAGTACATGGAGTGCTGGAGAAAAGTGTAGGCAAAGATAAAGAGGAGACACGAGAAAAGAGAGCAGAGAAAGGAGATGTACGAGAAGAGAGAAAAGGAAGAAGTGAGATAAGAGAGTGCAGTGCAAAGAGCAGGGAAGAGCAGAGCACAGTAGAGAGTAGAGAGCAGAGAGCAGAGCAGGGGCAGTGCACATAGTAGAGAGAGCAGAGACGATGGGAGAGGAGAGGAGAGGAGAGAGGGGGAGAGGAGACGAGAGGAGAGCGGCGAGGGGAGGGGAGAGGGGAGAGAAGAGGAGAGGGGAGAGAAGAGAGGAGAGGAGAGAGGATGGGGAGAGGGGAGGGGAGGAAAAGAGAGCAGAGGAAAGGAGAGGAGAGAGTAGAGAAAAGGAGATGAGAGGAGAGGGGAGGGGAGGATAGAAAAAGAGATGATAGAAAAAGAGAGGAGAGGGAAGGAGAGGAGAGGAGAGGGCAGAAGTGGAAGGGTGAGGAGAGGAGAGGGCAGAAGTGGAAGGGTGAGGAGAGGAGGGGAGAGAAGGGGGATGGGAAGACAAGGAGAGGCTAGAGAGAAGGAAAGGATGAGAAAGGAGTGGTGAGTAGAGAGGAGAGGGAGGGAGTGGCAAAGGGAGAGGAGAGGAAGGAAGAGAAGGGAGAGGAGAGAACAGAAAAAAAAGTAGAAAACAAAAAGTAACACCAATGTATAATCTGTGCTGATCTGAAGGTAATGGGACTGCAGATAAAATTCATTACAGATCTTTTGACAATAGTGTTTATGGGACAGCAGAACAAAGAAAACATAACTAAACTTAACTGCATTACAGCCTTCAATGAAAAAGAAAACACATCTACAACATGTATCACTCACCATTTGAATTTAAATTTTAAGTTAGAATTCATGGAAATTTTGTGATAGTCAGGAGAAAAGGAAGGGAAAGCTTTTAATATTGAAGAATGTCTTTTCCTGTCATTAAAGGGGCTGTATAAAAGAAGAGAATTTCATGAGCCCTCAAAATTGAGAGGTAATGAATGACTGCAATTTTGAAAAATTAGTCAAAATGTAATTTATTGAAATCAACAGAGATAACCATTATTTTGTATTAGTAGTTTCCTAGAAACATACAAATAAAGAGTACCAAAGTACCTTAAGAAAGATCAGACAAACAGACAGGGAATTTACACATACAGACAAACAGACAGAATTAACACATACCTTGAAGAAAGAAAGAAAAGAAAAGAAAAGGAAAAAAATCTCACTCTCTCTCTAACTCACTCTCTCTCTCTCTCTAACTCTCTCTTTCTAACTCACTCTCACACTCTCTCTCTCACTCTAACTCTCTCTCTCACTCTCTAACTCTAACTCTCTAACTGTAACTATCTCTCTCTCTCTACCACCACACATCAGGAGCTAGAGCTTATCCTGACTGGGGGAAGATACCTGGAGGGGAATAGCAGGAAAAACACCATCTCCCATTATAGCGAGTCTAATGACCAAAGTAATTGATGTGCCCGGAAATATCAATCAATCCAAGACAACTACATTACTCCTTTGTACACTATTACTATTACACACCAATTCCACATTTCCATGCCCCTCCCTTGCAATATGGTATAGGTATCTTAGTCTCTTGTCCCCACACACATAGCTTTGTTTTGTTTTTAAACCACTAGGTGTGCTTGAGTCATTAGTCAAATTCATTAGGACAGGAAGACTTTTATTTTTTTTAAATTTCTTTTTGTAATATCAAAAGTATTACCTACAATTTTGCACAGATTCATAATCCCCTCTCCTCTACTCTTGATTTTACTGTTATACATTATGCTAAATTATCTTTCTTGTTCATTAATTTATTTGTTAGTAGGGTACTCCTTCAAATTATCTGAAATGTGCCATTGTGATATAAATTTATTCATTTCAATGGGTGCATGCAAGAACCTGATTTGATACATTTTTGAAAAGAAATGAGTTTTAAAAAACCTGAAATGTGTTCTTTTTTTCTTCCACACCAACTCAAAGCTCTAAGTAGTTCACGGATCTCTCAATAGATAAAAGTGTCATTGGGCTGGAACAAAGTTTTTGCCTTTGTGCAGGCAAGAACCTGATATATGTTTTCCTTCTCACAGTGAGTTCTAGCTTAAAGGTTGGTGAAGTGCATTGTGTACAGTTGTGATAATGAGCGATAGAGGTGGAAAGAGGTTATTTCAAGATTCTAGTAGAAATATTATTGGAAAGTTATGAGTTTTTAATTTTTTTATTTTCAAATATTGACCAGAGGTTATTCAAATATTCTAGTGGAAATTACTGGTAAGTTACAAGTTTATTACTTTTTATTTTCAAATGATCCAATCAGAAACATTCCGAACCTTCAGAGAAAGTATTTGTCATGTAATATAATATTCACTTTGGCCGTACAAAATTGAAAACATGCAAAACATGCAACAAGCTTACTATAGATATCTAGAATGCATGTGACAAATATACAAAAACAAAGAAAAAGCAAGAAAAAGATCTGATTTACAAAATGCAGAAGCAGCTCAAACTATGATGTAAAATGATTTTCTAGCTGTGCAGAATGACTCAATACATGGGCAATAGCGTTTGTGATGGAAGTTCATGTTACGTAACAATAAGTGGGACGAGTTAATTGCGCAATCCAATGGTAGAATAAGTACACAATGTGTTGAATTCCCATTGCTTGAACTTACACTGTATTAAACTTCTTGTATAATACACTAATGAAGTATTGAAAGACTTTATCTACGACAATTTGGTAGCAGAGTGTGCAGCATTCAATCTGAACTGTAAAAAGACACAGAAAAAGAAGCAAAAAGGTATGGAATTATTCTGAAGAATAGAATTGTTGACAAGTACTAATTATGCTTTATGGATTATGAGAATTATGGCTCTAATTAAGTCAAAATTATTATGATATCTCATTAAATGACTAACCAAAGAAAGGAGGAGTTGAGACTTCAATGAAAATGTGGAACGAATGGAATAAGAAAAGCAACAAGGTATGCTCATTAATTATATTAACTTTATCTGCTGATCAAGTGATGGCATGTTGTGGTATAGATAATGCAAAGGAATTATGGAATATATTAAAAAAGAGGCATGAAGGTGCGGTTAGTCAACGAAAAATCTAATTGAAAATTAAATTAGTGAAAACTGAGAAATTGGAAGGAGAAAGTATTAATGAATATTTGACATGAGCACATTCTTTAGCTACAGAGATTTCAGAATTAGGAACTAAAATTGAAGAAAATGAATTTATTACTTGTATTATTGAAGGTCTTCCCGATAAATATCATAAAGTTTCAATAGCAATATCACCGAAAACGTCTATTAATTATGAAACTAAGAGAGAAACAAGTTTACATTTTGAAAGGAAATCTTATAAAGAAGCAATTCAGAAACTAATGCATTTAAAGTAAAAGAACACAAGAGAGGTGCTTGCTATAAGTGTGGAAAGTTTGGACACTTAGCTCAAAATTGATGGAACAGAATTAATTATCATAAAAGAAACGTGAATAACAATAGTGAAATATATGGTAGAAATAATTATTCAAACCACTACAGAGGAAATTCCCGAGGTAGAAATAAGAATAATTGAAGAAATAATCTAAGAAATTATTTCTTCATGTCTAAAAATGAACATGCCATGGTAATGAATGAGAATTTAAATGAAATTTTAATGTAAAGAATAATGTAATGTAATTTGTAGCAATGTAAAGAAAGAAACTCGTTGGATGTTAGCTACTGCATGCACATCTCACATGAGTTATGAAAAAGATATTATTTTAACAAAGAGGTCAGAGAATACAGAAATAAATACAGCTGAAAGGGAAAGGATTATTTTGGAGAAAGTCGAGGTATTGTTAAAGGATCTACAAATGATTATAATAAAGAATAAATATTTGAAAAAATGGAAAACATTTTGTACGTAATGTCAGTTTCTAGCTTACTGAAAATTGGTACAAAAGTTGTTTTAGATTGAAATGGAGCAAGAATATTTGAAATAGATACCAGAGAATTAATAGCAGAAGGTGAATTTGAAAATGATGATTCCATTATTAAAGTTGATGTGCATCGTGATATAAATATTCCAATATCTGAAGTTTGTTTAAACATATAAAACATATAATATTTCATTTATGGCATAGAAGGTTAGGGCATATTTATTTTAAATATTTAAAATGGTTGATCAGAAATGATTTAGTAAATGGTTTGTCTAAATTTAAAATTCAAAAATATGATTGTGATTCTTGTGTAAAAGGGAAAATGTCAAGATTGCCATTTAATAAAGTGATTATAGAACGATTATAGAATTATTATACAAACAATTATTATACGAACAAGTGCTTGAAAGAATCCATTGATTTGTGTTATCTAATGCCTGTGGAATCACTTTCAAGAAATAGATTTATGATAACATTTTTAAAAATGAAGCTGGAAATAAATTGCAACAATTTGTAGAAAGATGAGATAGGTAAACAAAGAAGAAGGTAAAAAATATCAATCCAAATCAGATAATGGACTTGAATTGATAATAAACATGATGAAGAAAAAGATGAAACAAATTCTGAAAGAAAAAATCATACGAAGATAACAGAAAGTAATGTTACGGATTTAAATATCATTGGAGATAAGGCTGAAACAAATTTAATTATATCTAGTATGCAAAGAAAGCCTGTTTAAAGATATAATGCTAATATATCACATGAAGAAACTCTGAATTCTGAAGAAAAATAATTTTGGAAAGAAGCTCATAAAAAATATAAAACTTGCCATTGCTGGCAATGGCTTTTGCCACGGCAATTGCTTATTCAATGGTTGAATAAGTACAAATTGTGTTGAATTCCTATTGCTTGAACTTACAATGCTTTAAAGTTCTTGGACAATAACTAATGAAGTATAGAAAGACTTTGTATCTACAACAGTTTGATATATGCTGGCACTCCCAACACCTCATATCCATACTAATGTGGTTTTCTATTACATGCAACTGTGGACTTACAACCTCAGAGTACTTGTTACCAATAGAGGTACAATGCACACCTGGGCAGAGGACTTTGCTAGCAGGGGACCACAAGAAATAGCATCATGTTTGATGTCTTATTTTCAAAGCAACTGATATTGTAGAAGGCAAAAAAGTCAACTGGTATTGTAGAAGGCACCCAGTCTGATTCTTGTGGCAACCAGACAAGAATAAGAATATTACTTCTTTGTGGTACTATTTGGTACATGATCTAAGTTTATTTGAAGAAGTGGAGCATAAATTCCCTTTCCTGGGACACACCTTTTGTTGTTACGACAGATTTTGGGATTATAGAGAAGAAAAAAGTCCACACCAAAGGGAAAATCATTTTTTCAAATAGCCTAAAACAAAGTGTATATAATTCCAAACATTTGGGCATTGTTGAGGAACATGTTACGATTTTTCACCTAATGTACAACTGCTTTTCCTTCTGCTTCTGATCATCCCTGGAAAAGATGTACTTTACTCATTAATCTGCAAATTGAAGTGTGAAAAGAGCATTAAAGAGCGATTTATTAACAAACATAAAAAAATCTTGTAGCTTACACCAAATAAACAATTTTAAAAGCAACAGAATTCTTAGAGAGAATTACAAATTTTTGCAGAACCCCCACCTGCGTAAGGCAAGTTGCTTGGTCAGAGCTTGTTCAAGGCTTCCAAGCTGACTGTCATTGGAGCTGGATCCTGTCACCTCATGAGTAGTCAGGGAGAGAGGCATCAGTTTTCCAACTGATGTCTCCATGATAACTTGACCTCCACAAAGCAACAAGGGCAGCTGACCAGAAGGCAGTTTGGTGCAGCCCACACACTCAATACTAGGGCCTGCAAATCCACAAAAGAAGCATGTGTGTATGAAAAGAAGTATATGCATAACTAAACTTTTTCTTCATAGTTTCAAGACTTCTGCAGAAAGATTTTTATTCAAATGCAATCCCAACGATACAATACCAACAACAACAAAAATTAACTTCGCAGGGAGACTCACTGCCACTTTAGCATCTTTGTTGCAATTTCAGTGTTCACCTGAAGTAAGTTTTTGATAGCAGATAAAAAAATCAGACAGCTTAGTATTCTATGAATAAGAGTGTATGCAAGCTATGAGAAGAGTGTATCAAACTTTGATTACTCTTCCTTTCCACCATTGGATCTAGCAATGTCAAAGAATAAATTCAATATTTGATCCGTGTGGCTTGCTCATGAATTACTCATTTAATTTTTGTGGATCAAATAAAAAATTTTCACAACTAAATTGGTATTTATCACTGAAGTATTATAATTCTAATTAAACTTAAATGTAACACTGGATTCTTCATCTTCCAAGGATATGTCATACAGTATTTTTTATTAACAAAAGAGGGCAAGTTCTGGGGAATTCGTTGAATAATAATATTAAGCAAATTATGGCATTAAATACATTACAAGCAAAAAATGAGAAACTCCCTTTTTACACTTTCCAGGGGACCGATGCAAAAACGTGTAAAATGTAGGAAGTGTAAAATACAAGGAAGTTGAAAAACGATAGGTTAGGCTAGTACTTTTATTATTTAATGCAGCTATAGCTCTGTGTTTACTTTCTCACCCTTCATAAGAAGAGAAAGTGTGCGCCAGAGCTGGTGAATTTCATCAGAAAATCTCTTATTGCCGAGCCTTGGTAATGAAGAAGTGGATAAATCATATTCCCATATATAGTAAATTACTTCCTCTAACACGTGGTGTAACCAGAATCCCTGTTTTATGTGTCGTTGAAACCGCAAAATCAATTGACGGCAAAACGTCTGTCCATCTGTGGTTAACGCGAATGCCTAAAGCAGCTGCCGTTCTCCAAAATTATATTCCCCCATTGATATGAAATAACTTGAGGCTTTTGCGAGTATGTTCCATACATATGTAGTGATTTACTACATATTGGAACAGGATTTATCCACTTTTTCTGTATCAGTACGAGTTTTTCTGTCGAAAAATTGGCGTTTTTTGCCGCAGCATTACATAACTTTCTTTGCACGAGATATAATGCATATATTAGAAAGCAAAAAATTATTATAAATTAAAAAATAAAAATAAAAATAAAATAAAATAAAATAAAAGGCTAAGAAGAGAGGAAGTACTCTTCATATCAAGTTGTAAATTGTGGGAAGAGAATGCATTGTAAATATAGACTTTACAATGGGACCAATGAAAAATTACGAAAAAGGCAGGAAAACGTAAAATGCAGGAATGTAAAATGGGGTATTACTGTATAATGAAAAAATTAAATAAATGGCAAATTTCATGTAAAAGGAGTCAATAACAAAAAACCTCAATAAATCAAAATCAGAAACATTTAGTTGATTTTCTTATATCATCTATTAAGAATTTTTTTACAATGTATTCTCAATTCCTCTCTGAACTTTTACTGCATCAAAGCAAATTATTCTTCCTTCTTCTCTTGCAGTGTTGAAGGCACAAATGAAATATACACTATTACCTTTGACAGATTCCTTAATACTGATGTATGTGGTTATTTGAGTATCATCAAATACTATAAAGACATTGCGATCTGCTGGCTGCACATCCCACAGAGCTCCCACAGCCTTAGATGGGAAGTCAGGAATTTTAAGCAACTCATCTGTCACCTGCAGCAACATAACAACAAAAAATAATTTGTATATTCCTGTTGAAAGTGTTATTTTGAAATGATACATAAATTATGCAATTTAAGAAGACAATTTTCATGCCAGTCACATGCATCATGAGAAAAATCCTAAGCAGGCCAACTGAAGAGCTTCTGAGAAAGTTTGATAGGAGCACATTTATTTCATGATGAAATTCAGTGTAAATTTTGGGTTTTGTAATGAAAAATAAACAAAAATGTTATGATCAATATATCATTTCAGTTAATTGTCTCATAGTAAGTGGTTAAAATGATGGATGTTTACATTCAAAGTGATCTGTTTTATTTTGGATTAATGTTTTCAAAAAATTTTATGTTTATTTTGATCATTGTGATTTTGAATATATTATATTATAAATAAATTCTATGCTACAATTTGTATTACGCTGTTTCATAGTTGTACTTACTTTTATTTCATTATGTATTTTTTCTCTAAGTATTATATTATATCTATTTTAGGAATGTCAATTTTTGTACAACATGAAATGAGTTACAATTCAGCATGGACATTATCAGGCAAGTCTCTGTTTTAACAATAAATAGTTATTTTGCTTTGCTTCCAAAAGTACTCATGGGACACTTAAAGGAGAGGATCACATCAGTAATTTGATCATTTGTTACAAAAGGAATAGTATATAACGCAGGTCCAATTCCAATAAGGGAAAGTCACAGAAGAGGAAGGATTTATCAACCTACATATGAGTATTCATTTGCTGCACTACCATAACTGTTAACTGTTAATTTCGAGCTTGTGTCTGAACTTACAATGGAAGTTTTTTTTGCAGCATTACAATGCTTCACTGTGCAATTGAGTTTTATATAAACAAAATTTTTCTAATAATGGAAAGAATTTGGAGGTGTTTCAAATGCCTTAAACGAGATATAATCCTTTTTTAAAAAAGAGTCAACTAATATTGCATTCTCCATTACTTGACAGCAGATCAAATGGCAGTTTATTCCACCAAGATCGGCTCACTTTGGAGGATTGTCTGAAGTTGATGTGAAAATGATGAAAAGACATTTTAACAAAAAATGCAAAGACATGCTTTAACATTTGAAGAAATGTGTACTTCTTTGCAACATTGACGTTATTTGGAATTCACACCCTCTAAACACCCTTACTAAATGATCAAAATGACTTTCAAAGTTTAACCCTCACTTCATTTTACTATTAGTCTCACTAGTGTAGCCTGTACAATTAAACTTGTGCCAAGAACCTGGTAATCGTTTTGTTGGAAATACCTTCGAAAGGTTAGGCAAAGACTTTGGCAGCTGTAGCAATCAGAATATCCCCAAGAACTTCAAAAAATACTTAAATGGTATGATTGATGTCAACATATCAATGATTCTCTGGACCTTCTTATAGAGGACAATGAGCCACCATTAGGGAAACCCAGGGCCGGAGTTCATCCAGGTCCAGTCAGCAAAGTGAGAGTTGTTACTATTCCAACTTCTGGAATATTTACCAGAAGTAGCACAAAGATTTGCTTAGATAATGAAGACTGCAAAAGAACCTAACTTTTCTTCATGTAATAAATTTCTTGATTTGTTACATGCCCAAAATGTATGTTCAGTTGTTCTAGAGTTAATATCTGTTTACACAACTAATCTATACAATTCATATTAGTTTAAAATCGTTTTGTAGATTCAAGGTAATTGAAATAAAATAATCAGTAGAAAGAATACCTTTCAAGAGGGTTAGAGTGTCACAATTAAGTCACATGCATGCATACAGGTTGCCAAGATATTGTAATGTTTTTGTAGTGAACAGATGTCAAGCTCAATAAATCACATTTGAGTGATCATCTGATTAACTATTTGATAGGCTACATGTTCTAAATTTAGTAATAGATGTGCTGCTTAATAAGACACATTGTCTAATAATATCAAGTAATAATGACTCATTTCTTTATCAAGTCATAGTGTAAGCTCTTCTGAAGCAAATAAATATCATTGGTTAACTTATATTTACTTACAGGAGAGAATACATAGCCCACACTTTTGTCATCAATAAACACCAATTGAGTTCCAGATAAGTCAGAAAAGATATTTCTAATGCCAACTTCATGGTGATAATCATTCACTAGTTTCCAATCTTCAATAAAAAAATAATGAATTTGACCCATCTGAAAAATCAAAACACATCCATGTTTCATGTGTTTTATGCAAAAGATAATATAAAGCAATAAATAAGAAATGTTAAAGAAGTAATAAAGAGCCAATACTCACATCAGTAGCATAAATAAGAAAGTCAGTTGTAAGACAGTGGCAGGTTATGTTTAGCTCTAAAGAATTCTGATCAGGAAACATTCTTACTTCACGGTCATCTCCATCACCATTGGCTGGCTCAATCTAGAATTACAATTCAATTTTCTTATGAAGCAAAGGTTAATTAAATCTGCCCAGAGCACAAATGAAAATTTTGACAATTTACCCAGTTATTCATTTTTACACCTTCATCGTATTTGAAATATTTCATATTTACAGCATTTATCCAAATGATTTTTTCTAAACTATTACACTCAACAAACTGACTGATTGATGGGGCAGAAATTAAGACATAACAAACATCAGTCTGACAGTTGATCCGACTTTTCTTGCTACTGCAGTTTAGGTACACTGAAAATATCATGGTTTTGACAGTTTTAATTTCGAAGTATCATCCACTTTCTCGCCTATTTCACACAAATACATCAATGAGCATGGTGACTGATGGGATGGGAAGCACATACATTACAGTACTTCCATTATCTGTCATGGTTATGCAAAATAATCAATATATTGCAAATTATGTATTTCTTTTATTTCTGATATTGTGTTGAATTACTCTTCAACAAATTATTTGAAATGCAACACACAATGTTTCTATCCTAGAATCTTCAAAAGCCCAATTCATAAATAAAATGGAAAGTTTTGTTGATTATATGGCCAAAAAAAATACTTAGCAATGCTGAAACAATTTAATTGAATGACATTGAACAGCATTCATTGCCTTAGGTTCAAAAATTTTAATTCTTGCAATCATTACTAAACAAATATCTCACAATTAAAAACACTTAAAGAAAATGTAGCAGAACATTATATAAAAATATTTTCTCAACCAATATTGGTCCTTCAACGTTTATGAAAATGTGCCTTTTTCAGCTTTTTTACACTCAAAACATTTAGAGATTTGGAAAAAGTTTTTAAATCATTTGTATCTACAAATTAAGGTAAAAAACACACGTGATATACATATTAATGGCAAGCCAGAAGTTAAAAAACTACAGATAATATTTCGAAAAAATATCTAGCCTAAAAAATGAAAATGTAGGGCAGGTAGGAAACAATGTCAAACCTGTACAATTTTTAAAAACTAACAGGTTTTAATGGATTTTTTTTATTATCATCATCATTATGATATCCCAAGTTCACTGGTAATCTACCTAAACATCAATTTCCATTCTGTGCAAGCTATCACTGTCACTTTTTTATTTTTATTTATTTTTATTTTTATTTTTATTTTTATTTTTTATTTTTATTTTTATTTTTATTTTCATTTTTATTTTTATTTTTTAATTATGAAAAAAGAAGTCAATATAGTTTCCTAGATGGAAGAAAGTAAATAGTTAAATTAATAGAAGCATTCAGAAGGTGGATCACAAGGAAAGGAAAATTAAAATTGGAAAGTATCATTACCATATGTAATTGAATCTTCCCTTCATAGAGAGCAGATGCATAATCAGTATTCAGTCTCAAACTTTTTACAGCACCTAAATATTCACGATCTCGCAAAAGTATTGGTTGTGTTTCTCCAGGATTACTGCGAGTTAAATCATAAAACCAAGCACGATTGTTCATTCCTGCAGCACAATGGTATGGTCCCACAGCTACAAAGGTGGGCTCAACTGGTAGGTCTAATGTCAAACTTGGAGGCAGTTTACTCTGAAGAAAATAGAAAGCTAACATTAAAGCACTGCTTTAGATGAGATCTTGACCTGAAACATGCAAATTTTCACAGGTCAAAAGTTCCCAGACATACTTGTAAAAAAATATAACAAACACATATAACCTGAAATATGTGTTTGTTATATGAAAACTGAAAATATGTGATTTCCTATAGATCCCTCCCCTTGTTCAAAAGCTTCTTCTTCCATATTAAATGAACATTATTAAAAAAATATTTTAAAAATGTGTTACACATTTCTCTCTGACATATCAGGTATAAAGTGAAATGTTAGTATGCATCTTGTTTACTTTCACTTTCCCAAATGCCTGTACAACCTTCCCAAATGCAAATACCCTACAAAATATTTGTGCTTTTTTTGTGTATGCATTGTGCAGCATACTAACAAAATCAAGTAGATTAGTGCGGAGTGGATATGGAGTATGACACAAATATTTACCTGACAGAAACACAGAACACAATTTTGAAGATCAGTTACAAAATTGACTGTCTTTGGCAGGAATGAAACCTGAGTCTCTTTGTTCTTCAATTATGATTTAGGGTACAAAGACACTCAATTCTCCAATATCATAATTGAAGTGTACTATACCAACTTTATAGCTAGCTTTATATCTAGCTAAAGACTAGATGATATGCAAAATGGGGATGCACATTTATGGCTACATATTTTGCTTATTTTTTAGATCTGGTGCATGATTTAATAATCTTGCATGTATCAACATGTTATTACTATTTGAAGAAATACACTCCTAAAGTGCAGTGGAAATTTCTCAGAAGTCGTCTTTTGAATTTGTGTCATTCTTGGGGCACCAACAATTTCAATGTGATAAGATAAACATAAAAAATTCTGAATAATTTTCAGCTGGTCTGTTCAATTCTCGCAACACCAACAATGTGTTGCACCCATTGTGTCAGTAGCAAGTGCAGGATGCAGCATTAACCTTCAAACAGTTGGCAGCTGGGTGAAGGACAGTGGTATGGTCAGTTTGGAACTAACCCAATCTCTCTATGCTAGGCACTGTGCTGTGCACAGTAGTTAGTAAATACCATTTCTGTGAGTTCTTTCAAGTATGCGTGTGCAAGCATAGTCGCATGTGTGGTTATGTGTGTGATTGTGTATGTGTGTGTGTGTATGATTACGTGCGTGTGTGATTATGTGTGCGTGTGATTATGTGTGCGTGTTTTTATTTGTGCAAGTGATTGTGTGTGTGTGTGTGTAATTCTGTGTGTGGGTGTGTGTGATTCTATGTGTGGGTGAGATTCTGTATGTGTGTGTGTGTGTGTGTGTGTGTGTGATTGTGTGCATGTGATTGTGTGCATGTGATTGTGTGCGTGTGTGTGATTGTGTGCGTGTAATTGTATGTGTATGTGGTTGTGTGTGTGATTGTGCGTGTAATTGTATGTGTGTGAGGTTGTGTGTGTGATTGTATGTGTGTGAGGTTGTGTGTGTGTTGTTTTTAAAATCAACATGTCAGTGGAATTACACAGTTCCTAAAAGAGTATATTTTTTTATGTGGGACATGAAACATCAAATAATGGGTTCAAAACTTTTTCAAAAAACTGACTGATAAAGAGGAAAGGGCATCCTTGGAACTATTGAGGAAGAAAAGCACCGTGCTAAATATTTCTCTATGCCAACTGTTATGCTACCATCTTAAGAACCGTTCAAAAGCGATTCATCTTTTGATTCTAATGAAAATATGGATTTGCTAATAGTTTTACCAACACTGATAAAGAACACATCATCAGGACAATACCCAGGTGAAAAGATCTCATTACTTCAAAACTAGTATGAGTGTTTGATAGGTGTCAGCTAAGCATGAGAGATTCCGTGTATATTCTTCAGACTACCATTGAGGCACTTGGACATTATACTGACAAATTTTCAATAAGTAAGTACTCAATTGAAAGACTTTCACGGTCTAAAGAAACTGAAGCAATTTTTATAATGTATACCAGAACATCAGAAGGTTTATCCTGACTGTAAAAAGAAAACTTTGAAAAGAAAATTAGAAAATAATATTTTCTAACTATTAAATAGCTATATGATTTGGAAATATTGGTGCTTTATTTACCAAATGAACATTTAGTTCAAGAATTCTTCCTTATTAATAGTAAATGCTCACATCTTGTTTGCCAAGTCGGCATGAGTAATCCTTATCCAATTGCAATAATATTTATTATTTGAGTTTTTGAGGTCAAACAAAAAATATATAGAGGGTACACATATCCGATTTCGGGAAAAAAAGAAATTAGACCCATATGTCTTGGGAGACTGTTATGTGCATGCATGCATTTGCATGTGTATGTCATTCACGGTGAATATTAATACTTGGATTAGGGCTGTATTCATAGTCGACACTTATGTGATAAGTAATAAGCATTTACTTAAAATAAATGAACCCTTATGACAGTTTTGTATTCACAGACTCCACTTATTTGAGAGTCGCACTGTGGCCACATTTTGCTACATATTTGGCAACATAGCTTTATTGGTTACTAGATACAAATCTAGAAGGCCATGTCAATCTTGTTTACAACTTTGGCAGTTCTATTATGGTTATGAATAGCATCTGGTTTCTCGACAGACTATCAACAGAAAATAAATTATAAATTTCATTTCATTGCTTCAATGCCTTAAGTCCTGTGCTGATAACTGCTATTAGTTGAATTTTTCTGTTTTTGCGTGATTATTAAGTATGATTGAATAGTACCCCGAATAAAGATCTAACCCATGAAATGAATTTTTTCAGAAAATAAAAGAACCTGTTATGATTATAAATACTTTTATTTCTGTAAAAAAACTATATAACATCAATAAACTATGTACTGATGTATGAATTAACTATGTATGAATCACTCTTAAGTCCAATTTTAGTCAAGGCAGTGAAATTGAAGGTGATAAAACAAAAATAATACAAAATTTCATAGAAACAAGATCTATCCTCTAAAAGTGGAAAAGTGATCTAACTGCGAAAATTAAAAGACAGCTATTGTGGTGCTCATTCACTGTCATTTTTTTAAGAATCTGACAGAACTCATGGTTTTGTGGAGGAATGAATTTGCACAAATGTAATAAATCTCTTTGCCCCCCCTTAATTCCAGTCTTCTTGATACAGTTGAGTGTGTTGTGTTGCGAATGGTTGCATCTGAATTCTTCTTTTGTGCATTTGATAGATCTCATAGGTTACCCAATGTTGCAGAATAATAGAAAACTATGTACTTTAAAATGCAAGTTGTAACTTCTGAGGATCGTGTTTTAGCCGAAGAAAAAAGAAAGCTGTCTGCTCTTATTGAATACTCTGATTATAGATTGAAAACTTCCTTTGGTAACAATAACTTTTATAATTTGGACAACATAAAAAGCTGTATTATACACAAAAAAGCACTAGCACTTCACTTATTCCATTAAACATTACTACTTAATCGTTTTAAATGTTGATCATACCACAAATATATTGCTTTAAATAACACGGTTAAATCTGGTTTGGGGCTCATTTTCTAGGAACAAAATGTCTCTTCCTATTGTTTTCTGTTATTGCATTCCTTAAACAATTATTTTTAATGTCGTTCCATTCCCATCTTTTGCGTCCAGCCTTTTTTTAGTTGTTTCTCAGCACTGCCACTCATAACTCGCTTGCGTCTATCCACCATCTAGATGTAGATAGATTACTTTTCACCAATCTGTCAATTTTACCAAAGGAATAATTTACTTTGGTTGACCGGAGTGCCATCAAAATTGAGGGGCGATGTATTACTTTTGATAGGTAACTATTCCACTGAAATCGCAACTTTTCTGGGTTAGATCTGTATTCAGGGTAACAATTCAATTATTGGTGTATGATATTTGTACAATATATGAAGAGAATTTAATGAACTTTTTAATATTTTTTGATATCACTTCAGATATTTCAGTAATGATTCAACAAACTGATGGCTGACTTAATCTATAGAGATCTGCTCATACCAACTGAAAAAATTAAAAAATTAAAAACTTTTTCATATGCTGCAGTGATCATCATTGTAAGATAACCTATAAAACATGGTCCTCGTGGGGCAACCTACAAAATATGCATGTGGTCTGCAATTGAAATCAATAAATTACGTAACTGAAATGATGTTGCATAAAATCTGTGTGCCATTAGCATTTTTAGGACTGGTAGTAATGGTTATCATCTATTCCTCAAGCCCACATTGTGAGTGAGCAACAGACATAAATGTTTACAACCGAATCCTTGCCAAAAAAAAATCTCTTCTTAAATTCTTGTTGCCTATGCATTTCGAAAGGATTTTCCATGTCTCTCAAATAACATTTTAGTATATGATCTTCCATTACGATTTCAATAATTCCAAAAACTCAAAAATATTTTACTTGTTATTCCACATTGAAAAATTAGGATCCACTTAATGGTACAGATAAGCTTACTTATCAGAATAAGTGAATGCTTAAGCAAACACTTAAGTGATGACTATGAATTGAAAAAGCGATTAAGTAAACACTTAGGTGTTTCTCAAATATAGTTTGACCACGAATATGGCCATTACTACCTATCAAGAATTAAATCTAGAAAATGAAATATGTATATGCTGCCTCTAAATGAAATTTGTATGTACTGATTGTTTTGTGTACATTATTTGAGTAGACAAAAATTTTCAATATGAATTTTAACAACAGTCATGTATTTTTTGTTTTATAAACTTAAGATGTATTAAAAAATGAAAGAAAGTGAATAGTAAATAAAACAAAAAACAAACACGTTGCATGGCTTTAATAGGTATTCTAAAAACGTATTTGCAGTATATTAGCATACGTGACAAATCAGCATTTGCTAAGTATTTGTAAGAAAAAAATTGCATATATTTGTACATATTTTCTCAAAAAACTCTTGCAGTTAATCACTTCTCTATTAATAGCTAATAACTGATTAAATGATGTTTAAGTTAATCAAAGAATTAACTGCCTCATCAGGAAAAATCTCATTATCAGGGGACCAGGGTTTGATTCCTAACTGGGACAGTCCACGACTTTTAAGTGATTTTTGAGTTTTGATGGCACTACAAACTCCTAAAAAAATTATACGGTAAGCCATCACATATTTACTTCAAAAGTACCTGACCTCTCCTCAATAAACAGTATAACTAGCAATCAAAATTAAGCCATACCTTATTCTCTAAATCAAATGAAAACAGAGTGAGCTCTGTTAGACTCGACAGGACTGCAATCTGTGTGCCACACACAGATGTAACAAGAGGAAGCTGTGATAAGTAAACATGAACTGAACCCGTCTGGGAAGCCACAGCTAGCAGCTGCCCATCCTCACTCCAAGCTAAGTGAACAACGCTTGATTCATCATCCAAAGTCAGAACACTAGAAGTCTCTTGCAGATTGTTCATGTCATGGATCTTCACCCTTTGTGAATGTAATAACAAAAACTATACACAATTTTGAATGCATAAAAAATATGAAAATAACATTTTACATAAATTAAAAAAAAATGCTAATTCTATTTTTTTGGAAGGAAACATCTTTTTTTTGCCATTAAACTGCTTATATATATAATAATATATATAGTATATATATATATCATATATATTATTATATATATAATATAGTATATAGTATATAAACTAAAAAGGTACAAAACAGGAAAGGGAAGCAAAGAGGGGCGGGGCGGGATAGGATCGCATTGATTTTTTGCAGCTTCGCATAATATTCTTAATTCAGGAAACTAAAAGAGATGAAAAGAAAGCAAAATGGTAAAAGATGTAGGGGAAAAGGAAAAAAATAGGAAGAGTAAAGGTCAAGATATTCTACTACAGACTAGATGCTAACGCTGACAAGAAATTGCTAACAAAGTTTACTACTAAAATTAGAGAAATTCAAACATAAAACAAATTTCAAGGAAATAGTTGCCTCGAAGATAATTTAATGCAATACATATGTGCAGCAATCATAAGTCTTTAAGGTCCAAATACGTACATGTTATCTCCACAAGATGCCACTTTGTTCAGTTTGGTGGAGAGAGCAATGTCAGTCAAACTGTCCCGATGATTCTTCACTTGAAATAATTCTTGACCCACTTCTTTAATGTGTGTGGATATTGCAACAAAATATCCTGCACTAAATCCCAGAAGAATGTATCCATCTCCAAACCTGACAAAGCAATTGAGCAGTTACAATTAGCAACACAATCAGAGCAAAAGTAAAATACAACACAAAAAAGTCACAACACACACAATTCCTAAAATCTACAGAATGATGCACCCCAACAGTAAATCACACATTGAGAAGTGGTTGCAGATACAGGAAAGAGTTAAGGAAAATGAATAGGGTATTACTTTAAAATATGAATTATGTAAGCGAAAATGTACATAGAAGCACATTTCTCAATTTATCCTCCTTCCTAATTTGTACCTACCCCCATTGGCATCATCCTGCCCTTCAATCTACTCTAACATACGTTGAACTGTACTTCACTGCACTATCTGTATTTTTTAGTTCAACTGATATTCTTCCTCTCTATTCTTTTATTAAACTGCACTTTGTTTCTCCTATAATCCCTTTTAATTTTCTACAAAATATTTTAAAGCTTATCTACAGATATATGAATATAGGTTGCAGAAAATGTTTATACTGTCTCAGAACTTTTTTATAGACTTTATTCTGTGTCTATTGATTCCAAAACAACAATTATTCATACATAATGCCAAATCAAGAAAGTTATTTTATTAATGTGCAGTCATTTCCGAACTTAGTATTTAAAATTTTTCATATTTTTTTCTCTATTGATGAGGCTATTTTTTAAGAATATCAACCTTATCAATAAAAAAAGTACAAAAAATTAGAAACCATTTGTAGGTGATGACAGAGCCATAGCGCTGCTGAAACGCAAGCTCCACAGGATTGTCAGGATCATGCAGATTATAGAGGAACAAGGTTTTTTTCCCCACAAGCAAGCTCACCTAAAACACACAACAAACCACCACAATCATGAACAATGCAAGATAAAATTCATTACATCAGAAAGGGTCACACAGAGGATAAAAGGAAAGTGTATTACAGAACTAAAGTGTCAATTTACGCTCAACATTTTTTTAATAAATAACCAAATAATGGGATGTCTTAACAATATTAATGTTTATAATGACAAGTGGAATTTATTAATCTATTTTAATAATATTAAATATCACATTCTCAGTGCAATGTAAGAGACCACCATAACAAGTCACAATAGAAATATAAAAATATACATCTATTACAACCAATAGACTGACATAAAAAGAAACGATGAAAACTTTATAAGGAACCAAAAAGAAGACAAAAAAAATTTAAAAGCCAACACAACTATCAACAAATGTTAACAAAAGGCCAGAGGGAAGCAATATTTATGATACTAAACAATAGTAATAAAGATAAGTAAGGAAAATTAAATACACAAATAGAAACTCCGCCTGTGGCTGTTGCATGTTATGGCAGCAGACCCTGCCGGTCTCAAGGCTGGGCAAAGGAGGAGGGCCCCTAGCGGGACTGCTTCCACTTACTTGTGCCCACTTCTTTCAATTAGCCTATTTTGGTCACTCACGACCTCTTGGAGTTTCGACCCCGATGCATTGGGGTCGAAACTCCAAGAGGTCGTGAGTGACCAAAATAGGATTATTGAAAGAACTTTCCTCTCTTCTATACTTACATTCTTGTTTCTTCCGTTTATTACTACTCTACCCTACAACATACTTATTTTCTAATTTTCTAATCTAAACTTGGCCGTAGGTATAAATAGCTAGGAGAAGGTCACCCCAAATTCAAAAACCAATATGGCAGGTTGTTCAGGATCGAGCCTTACGGTGCAGGGGATTAGATCCCCAGTATCGGCGATCGATGGTGAGCAAACAGGCCACCGGCCGTCCACACCCAATTACTGCAATACCTCGGACACGGATCTCTTGGTATCCAGGGCAGATAGAGATACAAGAGTAGAATATCCCTTAGGTAGAAAATCGAAGCTGCAAAGGACCCCTTGCCCTATATCGCCGCACGGTGGACAATGGGGCGGGCGGGGAGTTATGGAGGGAAAGAAATCGGAGAATCTTGTAGCAGAAGTAAGGAAACAGCAGCTGACCTCATAATAGGAAAATGGAGAAATACGCAACCACTGGTAGAAATCCAAGGAAAGCTCCTAGATGAATTGAACCAAAGCCTTAAGGCGATAGAAAAGCATATGCTGAAAAATAAATACAATGAGTGTGAAGGAAGCCGTGTCTAGAGGTACATAAAATATTGATAACCTTAATTATAGGGTACAAGAGGTAGTAGATAAAAAGAGAGAATTTTCAGGGATCCTGGACTCTCTACTTAGAGAGACGGAAACTAATGTATGGGAAGATAAGAAAGACGTACAATATAAAAAGAGGACGGCACCTAGTCCACCAGAAGAACGTAATAGAAGAGATAAGAAAGATAAACAGGAGATAACTACGGTGGAGGTTACACCAGGGGAAAAGCAAGCAAATCAGGGTGAGGTGATAAACCAATCTGAAAAGACAGAAAACCAGATAGGGGAGAATTGGCAGCTTCAACAAACCAGAAAAGAGAAAAATATGCAAAAGAAGCCAGGAGCTAAGACAAGTCAGGAAAGTAAACCCAGCTATCAAAGTGGCAGCTAGACAAGGGGAAACATGCTGACATTATAAAGAAGATGAAATAGACAGTGAACCCTAGTGGTCACGGCACAAAGATATTGGGTATACGGAGGGGAAAAAGAAGAGATACTTATTGTACTTGAAAAAACTAGAAATATTACCTCATTGAATGAGGCTTTGGAGAAAGCGGTAGGGAAGCAAGCTCCAGTGAGTGCTCTAGAACAAAAGGGCCTAATAGAAATTAGAGATGTTGATGAAACAGTCACTGCGGAGATGTTGGAGCTGGTGAGCATAAATATAAACGTAGCAATAGACCAGATGCTCACCCTCTGTAGGATGCGCAAAGAATAAGGAGGAATACAATCGCCACAAAGTTGAGGGGTGAAGAGATATCTCAAAAGCTTATAATGGAAGGACATATTAAGATTGGATGGGTTAACTGTAGAATCAGGGAAAACTCCGGATGACAAGATGTTGTAGATGTCTAGACTTTGGACATATTTCAACGGAATGCAGTGGTCCTGATCGTAGCGAAGTATGTTACAGATGTGGTAGAACCGGACATGTTGTTAAGAACAGAGAACAATGTGTTTTATGTAAAGACAAAAACAAAGAGGATCAACATCTGTTAGGAAGTAACCAATGTGCCTCCTTTATAGCGGCAGTTCAAAAGAAAAAAATATCAAGTATGCTTTGACTCCTACAGATTAACCTGGGGAGGAGTAAGCAGGAGCGGAACTTGATGCTGCAAAAAGGGAAGTGGATGTGTTACTTACTAGTGAGCAACCTTACTAGTGAGCAACCAATACATTGTATCTAGATACTACTGGAAGAGTTGGTATAATAATCCATAATAGGAAGCTAAGTATTAATGAATATAAGAAGACGAACTATGGGTTTGTATGGGTTGAGGTGAATAATATGAGAATTTATAGCTGTTATTTTCTCCGAACGATACATTACAGAAATTTCAAAAAGACGAATTGGAGGCAAGTCTGAAAACAACAAAAGGAGATGTTTTGTTAGCAGGTGATTTCAATGGTAAATCGTTGCAATGGGGAGAGACGCGCTCCGACTGAAGAGGAGCTATTATATGTGCATTTGTAGCAAGAAACAATCTCATCATTCTAAACTCTGGGAATGAGAACACTTTCCAATGGGAAGATTCTTCATCTATACCGAATTTGACAATAAGTACTTCCAGACCATAGAACGTTTGCATACCCAGCTAAATGCCATTAGAAAATAATTGTTAAGAAATAATCCTGTGATAGTAAGGAAAAGTTTGGCCACAGCACAAGATGTAGTAACACAAAAGAAGAGATGGCAGGATGTCAATGAAGAGCAAGAGTGGATGTCGATAGATTGTTCCTCCTGAGGAAGGGTGACGTACATGACGAGAATACAAAGCAAGGCAAGAAGAGGGGCGGTTCTTTAAGGGATACGGCGCAAGAAGTATCAGACGAGAAGAGAGTCTTCAGAGATCCTGAACTTTCCGTCAATTACAAAAGAGAAAGTCAAGTACGAAGAGAAATTGAATGCTATGCTAGCACAAAGGAAAAAGAGGGTGGTACCTAGTCCACCAGAGGAGTCTAACAGAAGGGACAAGAAAGATGATCAGAATAGAGTAATCACAGTGGAGAATACTCCTGGAAGAAATAATGAAAATCAGAAAGGTGATAGAACATCTTGAGATGAAAAGAAACCAAGGAGAGTAGTGCTGGGAGAGTAGCGAGGAAAAATAGCCAAAAGAAAGAAGAGTATATGTCATGTAAGAAAATCAACCCAGCTATCAAGGTAACAGCTAGGAAAGGTGAAACATGCAGACATCATAAAGAGGATGAAGAATGACGTGAATCCTAATGATTGCGGTTCAAAGATACTGGCTGAAAGGAGGACCCGAAAGGCAGATGTGCTCCTTGTACTTTTGACGCAATGAACGAGGCTCTGGAGAAGGCGGTGGGGAAACAAGCAAAAGTGAGTGCCCTTCCGCGGAAACGCTTAGTAGAAATTAAGGATATTGATGAAACTGTCTCGATTGAGGAGGTACTGGAAACGGTGAGTACAACAGCAGATGTAACAGCAGACCAGATCTCCGACTACTGAAGGTTACGTAGGGGATATGGAGGAATGCAAACAGCCCCAATTTACTGGGTGAAAAGGTACCCAAAAGCTCATAATGGCTGGAAACATTAAAATTGGCTGGGTGAACTGTGGAATCAAAGAAAAGCACCAGATATTAAGATGTTATTAATGCTTAGGCTTTGGAGACATCTCAACTGCTTGCAGAAGTCCCGATCGAAGTAAAGTATGTTACTGATGTGGCAATACCGGTCATGGTATCAAGGTTTGTACTGGTAAACTGCAGTGTGTTCTATGCAAGGAGAGAAACAAAGATGATAATCAGTTAGGGAGTAATAAATGTTCCTCCTTCATCATGGTGTTTAATAAAGTCAAAAAGAGAAATTATGCTCGATTCCTACACGTTAATTTGGATACGAGTAAACAGGCCTGGGATTTGATGCTGCAGGTCGCTGCTGAAAGGGAGGTTGACGTGATGCTTGTCAGCAAGCAACATCACTGTGACATGTGGTATCAGGATGCTACTGGAAGAGCCGGCATAATAATGCAAATTAAGAAGCTGAATATCACGAAACACAAGAGCACGAAATACAGGTTTGTATTGCAGGAAGAAGGCAATATGAGAATTTATAGCTGCTATTTTTTACCGAATCATACACTAGAAAAATTTCAGAAAGATATTGATGAGCTGGAAGCTAGCTTGAAATCTTCTAAGAGCGAGGTATTAGTGGCAGGCTATTTCCATGGCAAGTCGTCCGAATGAGGAGAGAATTGAAGAGGAACTATCATATGTGAATTCATTGCAAGAAATCTGATCATCTTAAATAGTGGGGACGAGTACACCTTTCAACGTGGAGCCGCATCATTTATTTTGGATTTGACAATAAGCTCCAACAAGCTTGCTAAAGGCATCGCTGATTGGTCTGTGCTCGACAAAGAAACCCTTAATGACCATTGGTTCATAGGATATTCGGCTCCATTAACAGAGGGGCCACAACATGTCAAAATACTATATAAAGGAAAACCACCTTGGAATCCCAAAAAATTGAATGAAGAAAAGGCAAAACGCTCCTTGGAACAATCCAGGTTGCTGGTTAACACGGGTTAGACAAAAGAGGCGGAAACGTTTGAGGATATGGCCAAGGCAACAGAGGAAATAGTGGTAGCAGCTTGCAACGAATCCATGCCTAGACGTGTGTCCAAGGAGGAAACAGCAAATTTTTTTGGTGGACACCAGAAATAGC